ACTCTGGATTTAATGCTGTTTAAAAAAAGAAAAAAAGTAAACAATGTTCCTGAAAATCCATCCTTTCAGCTTGTTTTCTAACTGACCCCTCATTGGTGAATAGTCTGCACCACTAGAGGGCGATGTAGTTCATGTAACTAGACGTCACTGAAAAGTGCATCGTGCCCCCTTGTGTAGTTTGATCAAGATGCACTTTATATAGATGCTGCTTGGACCAGTGAGTTCAGTCTAATTGGGTGCACACTGAAATCCTCTCTCTGTTGCTCTGATCAGTTTTATTTTGTTTTGAGTGTTTTGTTTTGGGGGTTTCCCCTTCTTGCCTCGTGCTGTGTATTCCTTGACCCTCCTCGCTCTTCAGATACACACAAAACGGCATCCTGCACATGCTGGACCGCAACAAGCGGATCAAATCAAAGCCAGAGCGCTTCCAGAACTGCAAGGACAAGTTTGACCTGGTCATCACCTGTGAAGAGAGAGTCTATGACCAAGTGGTGGAGGGTGAGGTTTTGTAACATTACTCGGAGTCATTCACAAACCCACCGCTTTGCTGCTTCTCCAACTGTTACCTGCCTTTACCTGGTCTTTAATGTGTTTCCTAGATTTGAATTCCAGAGAGCAGGAGACGCTGCAGCCCGTGCATGTAATCAATGTAGACATTCAGGATAACCACGAGGAAGCCACACTGGGCGCCTTCCTCATCTGTGAGCTGTGCCAATGTGTGAGTGACAGCATCTGAGAACTTCTTGACGAGGCGTTTTCTTACAACTTTTTTTTTTTTAAACAAATTACTAATAAATATACACGTAAATAATGTGCAACACTGTTTCAGTTGGCACCTAAAGAAAGGTTAAACGATCTTTGTGAGTGGTGGAAATGAGGCGTGTGCGTGCACAGGTGGTGTTTTGATAGCTTTCCCTTGTGCGCCCCTGCAGATCCAGCACACCGACGACATGGAGAATGAAATCGACGAGCTCCTACAAGAGTTTGAGGACAAAAGCAACAGGCCTTTCCTTCACACTGTCTGCTTCTACTAAGACTCTGCAACAATTTGCAATAAACACAGACCGAGATCACAAGCAATCACACAGAAGTATATGGACACACATGCATCATACTCCTCAGTCATCCATGACTCAGTGCATACAGGTTGTGTGCCTACACAACCACAGACACACATAAATAGCTTTGGGTCAGGACCTAACAAATGGCTGCTGTTGGACATATTGTTGATAATGGGTTTTTCCTCTAAGCAGAGGATGGACTCGCTGCTCTTGCTCTGCCTTTCATTCCTCCAGATCAAGGTCAGGCCAAGGTTAATCCCTCCAAATATCACAGGTCCAGTCAAATCACTCAACTATGTCTCCTCAGGGAGAGCCACAACACCCACAGGCCAGATTCAACAGCTCCTCCAGTTACTTTCATTTTTGTTTGGCACAGAATGTTTTTGTTTTTTTTCTTAGATCTATGATTAATTCAAGCATATATGCCAGATTTATTTAATATTTGGGAGGGTGTACATGTGTTTACATGCTGGAGGAGAATTATTTGAAGTGTATGCTTGTTTCTGTGCGACCATGTGTTTGTAGATTTAGTTATGATTAAGTTTTAAGTGGGTGGGCTAATTAATAATGAATAACCAAACCTAGACCTCTGAGGCTTTCATCGGGTGTGTTTCAGATATGTGTTGATATTTAAACTCGATGCTGTATTTCTGGCCACAGTATTTTGTTTTGAGTTTTTTTTTTTCTTGAACTGAAGCATTGTACTTATTTTCAAACTGCGAGCTCGGCTCAGAGTGCCTGATATTTCTTTTTTCCTGTATGTACATATGAATCTACTAAAGAACGAAGCCTCTCTAAGAAATAGTTCATGACCCTTTTTTTGACTTTATCAGTATTTAGTTCCTGCTGAGTTATTTAATTACAAAATGGGTATTAGAAGACTAACGGCGCTGTTAGGACTGTTTTATGAGTGATGAGGACAAATTACCAGAATTGGATATAAAATATGGGCTGATCTTTATTTAGATTTGAATTATTGATTCAGTTTGACTAAAGCAAATATATTAAAATATCAGAACAGAACATCGAGAGGCTCGGGTGGTAGAGTGGGTTGTATACTATTTGCAAGGGTGGGCATGTCTTCACCACATGCTGAAGGTGTAGGTCCTTCAGCATGGCAGTGAGGATACTCCCAGTGGTGGATCTGTAGAAATACTGGTATATTTATAATTAGAAATCTGCAAAAGCTAATAAAGTTCAAACATGAATGGTATGGAGTACAAACATTGCATCCAAAATATAGTGAAGTAGAGAGCAGCATAACATATAAAGTACAATGAAGGTGTACCTGAGTAAAGTACTGAAGTTAACATACTTGGGTACATCCAACTACTATTCTTTAATCCAGTGGTAATATGAGATAATACAGAAGTTGGGATATTTGGGGAAATTCATGTTAAAGAAGCCAAAACTCCACCTTTAAAAAAGTAGGTAAATAAAATAAAATAATACACACATTCCCAAAATTAAGAGTAATGCAACCCAGTGAAACCAGAAAATCTCACAGGGCCCACCTAATCTTAAATTTTCGCTCTAGTCAAACAGAGAGCCTCATAAATTTACTTGAAAATTGCATTCAAAAAATCGCTCAATGTAATGATTAATCACCTGTTTTAATTCACTTTTCATATAAATAAATACATATATATAAATGTGACTGTACATGTGAGTAATTTCAAACTGGATTTCTGTTATTAATGCGACCCACCTGCAGTACCTTTGCGGCCCTCCAGGGGGCCCCGGCCCACACTGGAGGCCTAACCCTAATCCCTCGCCCTAAGGGTAGGGTTACGAGTCCACTGAAATGCACTATCACAGAATTAAATGGCTCAGGTAGGTAAGAGCTCAGTTAGAAAAAAAGGAGGATAAAGGATTTCAGTAGATATAAAAAATAATGACATGGATACATGGATGAATAAATCATGGATGAAGATTTAAAAAAAATAATTAAACTCTGAGAATAACAGTTAGATTGGGGGCCAAACACATTTTAGACACGCCCTTGCTCATCAGTGAAAATATAAAAGAGGGAAGGTGTAGGTCTGTTAGGTTACGTTGTGATGTGATCCTCGAGTTGGGGGACTTATGTTCATACTGGAGTGCAAAATTAAAACCAATTGAAGATGGACAAGAAAAGTTCAAAGTCATCAGGTGCTCAGTTTAGAAAAAAGAGAAAAGAAGAGGAGGAGAAACGAGCAAAAGATACAGGTAAGCAGATGTGTCACTGGATAATGGCAGGTCAGAATACTTTATTAATCCCTTTATTATGTGGGTTACAGTTGCTCCAAGAAGAAATGGTAAAAATAGTAACAGTAACAGACTAAACTCCAAACAATATGTTACAGATTTTAATATTAATTAGTCATTGCCAATTGTTGATTTGTCCTGTTTTCATTGTATGACGAATTATGATGGCTGTTTGGCAGCCGTTTGCATACTATGCACACTCTCTCTTCATATATGTGTGTGTGTTTCTCTGGTGAAATTCAGTATGGTTCCGACAACAGTTTTATGTTAATGTACAATCCTTAATATGTTTTACGTGTGTGTTTGGGGGGGGGGGGCAGAGAGAGTGTTCGCCCAGGGCGCCAAACAGGCTAGGAGCGCCACTGCGGATAGTGATAGTCGTATTTCAACTATTCTGTGAGTTTTGGAAGAAAATATAAATATTACAAAAATGTAATTTTCTCCCTGTCGGGTAATGCGAGCTTCAAAAGCAGTGAGGGCGCCAATTTCTATTTGCGTCTATGTGCAAAACAGTGTAAGAATGTAGTTAATGTATTTTATAAACAGGCTTCTTATTTTAAGCTATCAGTTTGAAATTTTTTTACTGTGTGTGTGTTAACTCCTAATTATTATTATTATTTTTTTATCTCCTGGTGATCGTTTCCATCCATGGATGCCAAAATTCAGAAATATAAGGAACATGTTCAGGCGTCCACATCCTGAACCCTCGAAGGAATCCAGCGGGAACATGGTGCAGATAGAGCCACAAGTTAATGGAAGCACTTGACATAAAACTGTAGTTCTGACTGAAATATAACAGAATGTAATAACAGTTGTAATAATGATATTTTAGCAGCCAGTGGAACCACCAGCATGTAAAAAAAACAACAACAAAAAAACACACACACACTTCCTCAAGGAAATCTTGTAGAAGCAGATCTGCCATTTCTCAGCCTGTTTTCTCTGTTTCTGTGATATGGAAACATTTAAGGGGTTAAGAAGCCTTACTTATACACACATGTACTGTACACTGGTTGCCATACACTGCCTCTGCAGCTGTCAGTGTTTTTCTGTGCTTGCTACTTACTAATAAAAATATAAATACATATATATAAAGCAGAGGTAAGGAGTCAGCTTGTGTGAGCTAAGCCCATTCTTAGGAGCTCAGGGCCACTTTTCTGGTCAACCAGGTCTTATGCAAGTAGCTCAAACAGCTCTCCCAGCATGATACTACAAAAGATTTAACCAGATGTTTGTTTTTTTTAAATCAGTCAAACATATCCCCATCTGTCTAAAACAACCTCCATTTTCCCTGTCAGGAATGCCAGATTGATGTCTTACTCATGCAAACCTGCACATCACGCTACATAAGAGGGTCCCATAAAATGTGACAGGGCATTTAATCATGCAGCCTTTTCCAAACCATGGACAACTTCATGCCCTCGACTTTCCTTTGAATATGAAGCTTCAACGGGAAAACTGTTATTATAGTGAAATACTGAAATCCCAGATGGATTCCTATCGAACACAACTACCCACTCGTCTTATCATTGCCCTTCTATTCGTTATGCATTGTGTGGTTCTAAAGTCTCTGCCATAAAGGTTGGAGGTGTCACAGTACGACTCTTTCTTAGCCTTTTAGACTTCTGAGAGAAACACCACAAACCATCAATTGTAGTAACAATCTTTACTTTTTATGAAAACATGGATCTGTTTCATTGTTTCAACAGAGACACTTTAATTAGTACATTTATATAGTGTAATTACAGACACAGCGACTGGTTTCCATGTAAAGTAAACGTTTACATTGTGTACATGATGCATAAGACCGAAAGAGTCTCAGCCATCATTTGTATTTTGTGGTTAATTGGTTAACGCTAGAAACTCATCTTCTGTCGTAAAGACAATCCCAACAGGCTTTTAGATTGAAACTTTCTAGTCAAAGAGGCAGAAAGCTAAAATTTTCCTATCCAGGTAGCACCACTGGGAAAAATGAACTCAAACTGGAGTTCCATCTTTAGGAGGAGAGTCTTCTCTCATCTTGCCGTCAGTGGAGGCAGGAGGTTGACCTGAACTCTCTGCTGTGCTGTTGTGTCCAGCTCGGTCGGCACTTTGGCCCTCTGCCGAGAGGTTCATAGGTGCTTGCTTTTCATTAATCTCAAGGACAGGAGCGATCACCTCCTGGGCCTGAGGCGTCTCGCTGAGGGGCAGATTAAAACCCATTTTTCCTCCGCTGCTCGTCACCCCAGCTGGTGGGGGTGTAAGGCTCTTCGCCGCCTCCTCTCCTCGCAGCCAGTCCATCTTCTGAAGGTGCTGCTTGACGGCATCGTCGACCCGAGCGTCGATCATGGCCTCTGTCAGGACGCCGTCTTCAGAGGAATATGCTGCCGCCTGAAGGAAAACAACATTTTCATTTTGAAATTAAGATACACTCTCCAGTGGTATGACAAGGTTTCAGCTATGGAGGCAAAGATAATATGATGATTCGTACCTGCCAGGCCACACCCAGCTTGGAGATCTCTCGTCCAGACATGCCCTCTGTCCGCTTCGCTATCTCAGAGCACTTTTTCCCGTAGTCAAACTGCGCCAGCTTCAGCCTCCTGTAAACACAAAGCAGAATAAGACCATGAAAAGGCCATGAAGGAAATTTCCACTGTTACACAGTATAGTGTTCCTACACTGGTGGACATGCTAGAAACACCTCCAGTATAAGGCATCTTACTCTGAATCAGATGGCTCAACTGGCTCTTTTTAATGTGGAGGAGTAACCGCTCTACTCGGATCCTCTCCGGAATGATCAAGCTCCTAACCCCAACTATAAAAGACAGCCACGCCACCCTTTGGAGGAAGATAATTTCTGCTGTTTGTAATAGGTGAGGTAACCTGACAGCTTCGTTTTCACGCTCTGTTCTCTCTCATCACCGACATGCTACTAGGAGACTTGTCTATTGCCACTTTAACAGCTCTATTCTCGTGTACTCACTGTCTCCCTCCAGTGGCCGGCTCCAGCACATATTTGTCAAAGTATAACCGCACCAGCCTCTCCCGCTCCTCAAGACCCGGCAGCGCAAAATTCACTATTTCATCTATACGGTCATTTATGGCCCAGTCAAACTGCTCCGGCTGGTTACTGGCCAGCACCAACATAAACCTGCATAAAAACACACACACAAAAACACAAGAGTCAAGCAGCTTAATAAAAGGTAGGAAGTAAATCACAGTGGTTAAGAAAGTTCAGTTGTAAACATGTGAAATAGATTCTTACTTGTTGCTCTGTTCTCCAGTGCGATATAAAAAGGCATTGAGAGTGGCTCTGAGGTCTTCACTGATTTTCTCCTATTGTAAAAACAAAGTAAGGTAATGAACAGTTGCTTCTTTCTTATGTAACCGGCAGGTTTTTTTGAGTAATGAAATAAACGCAGACTTACGGTGGCCCTCTTGCGGAGGAATGCGTCGGCTTCATCAACAAACAGCAGCAGCCTGTGATTGGAAACATGGCAGAAAGGACATGTTTTGCTACATCTGGTGCACTTTGTGATATTGGTGCAAATATAATAACAAATATGTTAGGTGACATATTTTGAGCATCATACCCGCGTCGACTCGTGTTGGCCCAATCAAACACTTTGTGCATGGCGGTGACACCATCGCGGCCCATTGGTGCTACATCACCACCGGTCATAATGGCGTAATCCATCCCAGAATGCACTGCCAGCTTCTACTCCACATACACAGAAATCCTCCAGTCAGACAAAGCACTGGTTTATATTTTTGGACACCTGAGCATGCTTTAGCTCTCTGGCGTACCTTAGCGAACAGCGTTTTGCCCGTCCCCGGAGGACCGTACATGAGGATGTTCCTGTACAGGCCGTTGTTCTGCCTTGTGTTTCTTGTTGCTATGGCAATGTCACGCACACGCTCCTCCAGGGAAGGCTAAGAGATGGGAAAGTGCTGTTATTTCAAGTTGAGACAAAACAACAATGATTTGCACTTTTATACCACATGTCCACTTACACTGAGCACAACTCCCTCCAGGGCATCCTGAGGTTTACTCTTCAGCCGCTTGGTCGTCTAAATAATTTCAAAGCAGTTATAAGTACAACAAACTCTGCAGCTTTAAAATAGCAAAATTATGAATTCATCATTAGCTACCTTGACTGGATGCTTGACTGCCTCTGCGACAGTGAATCGGGAAGTTTCCCGGACTAGTGACGGCTTTCCGAGCCTGGCCTCGATGTAACGTCCGGCCACTGCTGTTGCATTTCGAGCTGAATACACTCCCACAGCCAAGAGGGTCAACCCTGCCACCTGGGGAAGAGAGGAAACCATTATAGATCAGGAGACTAAATTCACACTCCATTATGAGCAATGATAGGCAGAGCATTTTTTTTTCCCCAGAAGATAATATTTATAGTTGAGGTAACATCTGGGATATAAGATCTTCATAGTTATAGCCAAAAACAATTTGAAAAAATACCTTTAAGATAGAGTTTCTGAGAATGGAAGTGTTTGAAAACCCACAGGTGTCATAAAAGCAGTATTTGCTTTGATGTATATACACAACGGAGTAAAAGGACACAGTCAATTGAAATGTTTAGCACATCTGTGAATGCATGCATGTTGGGCCTTTTAATGCTGCGTTCCAGATTAAATTAGAAATCTGTATTTACGAGTTTCCAGTCAAAATCTTCATCTGGAATAACCCCTAAACTTGGATTTCCAACTCAGAAAGTTGGAGCAGCCCCATGAATGAGTTTACCACCAGAGATGTTGGCAGTGAACATAAACGGTAGTAAAACTGTAAAAGGTGTAACGTGTACTGCCACTGTTATGTATTCGGGGCATGGCATATAATTCACAGACCAGGCTCTATCCATGCACGCGCTGCAGCAGCATTTCAAAGCACACACACACAAAAAGGTATTGCTCTGTTTTGCCATCTTGCTAAGAAGCAAAACAAATCCTGTTTGTCTGACTTCGACAGAAACATTAATGTTTGATTTATGTTACTTGAACACAGCATAACTAACTGTGCTTTAGTGTACTCCTTAGGCATATTCATGTTTGTTTTCATTGGAATTTCAGTGACAAATTCTCCCTTGAATGGGAGCAGAGTGTCTCACCGTGGCAGTCACTTTGTCCCAGTCTGACACAAAGGCCCTGAATCCTTCTCCAAACACAGCACCTGCAGTCCTGAAAGCAAACACGTGTTAACTGTGAGCACGCCTTTAAGAGTCTATCACAGTGCCCATGTTGACACTGTTAAACATTTACTGAACTTAAGCTGTTTTCATGCATGAACTCCAGAAAATGGAGGAAAATTTGCTTCTCTCACATTCAGCACACAGCAGGACAAAGTCAACATCAGTGAAATTTGCGCTACTGTAAATACTCTGTTTGGTTTGGATGAGGGTGCTACTCGAGTAGAGCGTGCAGGAAGCAGGAACATAGACTGTATGAAAGACAGACGCAGCTTCCAACTTTGAAAAAGACATTAAATCTGCATTCTTTTAACAGCCAGCAGGTTGCAAAGGGATTTCCAGCTGTACTGAAATTTTGCGATCGATCGATAGATAGATATAAAAAAATAAATAAATACATTTACTCAGGTTATCAAGGTTACGCACAATGTCCTTGTTTTAAAAACAAAAAACAAAGATGGCGACCGGGTCTTCTGAGTCAAACAGATAAGTCGATGTTTTATACAGTCTGCAGATGTGATACAGGCGGCCGCACGCTAGCAGTGAATTCATTTAAACTCCTTTCACATCAGTATAAATGGACTTTACACACACAAGCTGACATATTAAAGACAATTTAATGCCCAATCCAGCCGTGTCAGACATTTGTGTGCTCGCGTACAGCTCAGTCGAGTAAATTCTATAAAAGCTCAGGGCTGCAGCTCAGGTGCATTTACAAGAAACTGCATTAAAAAACAATTATTATCATTCATGACCTTAAAAACCAGCGATACACCATTATAAACAGCTCAGAGCAAAACGATTTACTTTATGGACTCCAGGACGGTCTGTCTGTGTTCTGCAGCCTTCAGGCGGATCTGCTCTCGGATTATATCGGCGTTTTCCCTCTCAACTTTGGCTCGAGCTTTGGACTCTGCCTCAATACGAAGCAGCTCATTCTTGTGTCTCAGCTCCATCTCGTGCTCTATGGTCGCTAAACAACAAAGAGGAAAAAACAAAAACATAAACCTCAGCTCATCGTGTCAAACATTTAAAAGCATCCCATCAATAACCGCGCTCGTTTCTTTACCTTTCCTCATGGCCTCCTGCTTCTGTACAGACTCCTCCTGTTTGCGAAGGCTCTCTTCATTCATGGCTTGCTGTTAATTAAACAGGCACAAGACATTTAGTACTGTATCCCACTTCACAGCACGTTACAGCTGGAGTTGGAGGTTAACAACTCACCTGTTGCCTCAGTTGGTCCTCATATCGCTGCCTGGCCAGCTTGTCTTGGTATTGAGCTCGCTGATGGGACACAACCACAAAAACACAATTTGGTACAATTCACTGCTGTAATACTCACAGTGCTCTTCCCTCTAAAGAAAAAGAAAAGGAGCTCATGTTTTCCCCTCTTACAGCTTGATGCTGCTTGCTCTCCTCATTGAGAGTTTTCCTCCTCTCTTCAGCTTGGATGCGTATCTGGTCGCCTTTGAGCTGTTCGACTGCTGCTTCATATTCCTAAAGCGTGAGGCGAGAGCACAACTGGGTCATTGGAGAACAGCGACAATTCATCGCAGCACAGAACACAGATGCCACCAAAGTCCTCGAGTATCAAAGGAGCAAGAATACCTACTTAAATAGAGCACGGCTGTTATAACGCCCAATCAGATGACTTCAGATCCAGTTCGAGACTACTCTTCTAGTCATCACATTGAAACATCTCATCTTTATGGTCTCACCTGCTATCTCTGATGCCTGCTCTGTGCTGGTCTCCCTGCCTTATTCCACCTATACATACTCAGGAAGGTCATTACAGTGGTGCTTACTCATCTTTGTAAATATCTGAGTCAAGTTCTTATACAGTACTGTGTAAAAGTCTTAAGCCAACATCACACAGTTCTTTGTATTTTGCTAGGAAAAGTGCAGTAATTCACTGTAACATGCAAACATACAGAGTGTGTGCATGCTATGGCACAGCCTCCATCATGTTATATATTCACTGTTGTTAATCTCTCCTGACCTTCTCCATACCCATTGACTCATGCTGTAATATGCCAAGCTTTCAGCTAATAGCTCTTTAGGAATCACCTCAACGATGCAAACAATAAATACCATTTAATCCATGTAAGCTGTGAGTAACTTCAAATTAGTTATTTGGCAAGTTGTACAAGGACTGATTTTAAAATGAGTGAAAAAGCAGCCTCTGACAGAGCTTTGGAAAGCCCGGAGAACTTTTGATAAAGACCACTTCTGAAAAATACGGCTACTGTGGCTTCATCTAATGCAGGTCTATAATACCTAGGAATTATCAAGCTGAAAGAAACAGACTGATGTACCCGGTGTCCTGCTGCAGATGCAGAGTGATCCACTGCTCTGCTTTTATTTTTATTAACAGATTTTCTTTTTCATTTTTTACTTGTGTGACTTATCTTCTGGTTGTGTTGCTTCTTGGTTTAACATTTGTGTGCTGAACACATTTTTTTGAAGTACATAGTGAGTAAAGGTATTCACTGTACCTTCATCTTACTCTGGTGTTCCAGCTGAGTGGTATTCTCCTGCATTCGAGCAAGCTCCAGAGCTTCTTTGGCATGTCCTACACACACACACACACACACACAGATGAAGATGCATGTAGTTGCTTCAAAGCGTTATGTTTGTGAGGCCTGCTGTATTTGCTAATCCCTGTTACTGACTGTATCCACCTTTGAGTCTTAACTACCAAACAACAGCCCTGAATGAATGAATGAATGAATGAATGAATGAATGAATGAAATCATTATCAATAACCAAATAATAGTATGTGTTGCATCGTTGCACACGTGTGTGTGTGTTAGAGGGTGAGATCTGGATGTTCTGAGCCGGACTGCAACGTCCGTGACCTTTGAACTCTGTTCTCTCTCTGGATGAAGGTGGATGCAGCTCAGTTCCGTAAGCCTAACTTCACGTGAGTTAAACCTTTAATATTTATACCGGTGCTGGATGTCGGTGAGGGCCTCTTCAGCTACACTGAGGCGACCACCACCGTCACCGTGAGCCAGAGAGCAGCAGATGCTGGTGCAGCTCTGCACTCCAACAGCAGCCGTGTTGGTATAATCTCTACACACCTCCTCTAAGGAGACCCACCCGAAGCCCTTGAATACTTACGGGACATGTCAAGCTCCTTAGCCGCCTGAGCAGCCCGCTCCAGCCCGGTGGGATCGAAGTTGCTCCATTTGTCCTTGGGTTTATCTCCACCGCCGCTGGAGCCCCCGGCCGGCGGAGGTGGCGGCGGTGGAGGCTGTGCCGGTAAACCGGGAGGCACCTCCGGCTGTCCCTTGTTCAGGCCGAACAGCCACGACATTTCGCCGAGAACAAATAAAGCACCGTTAAACCGGTTCTGTTGGACAGAGAATAGCAGCCGCAGGTCTGTCACTACGCTTCCTCCACACGCGTGTCACGCCGAAAGCTTCTGCGCATGCGCACCAAACAGCTCAAGGTTTAACTGAATAATCGCAGCCAGGATTGGCTCAGAACAAGTACTTCTCCTTCTGATTGGCGCTCAACGTAGTAGTCCTCAGCAGAGGTCATTGACGTAGCCCCGCCCACACTCGATACGGTAGCCCCGAAGGATCATAAAGCATACAATTCACTCGAAAGGACGGTTACCCCTGGTTTCATCAGGCTGTTTCTGTTTTTGAAAGTCATTGAAGTGTCAGAGGATTGTTTCCAGGTTTTCTATATCAAATCTATTTTTGATTTACTTAAACTTCAAATCTAAAAATTTAAAGCAAACACTGCACTGAAAACAATCTCCTCACTTCAGTTTTAACCTTCTGTTTTCCAACAACTTCATGCTCCAGAGCAAGAGTGGGCAATTTATGTTCCCAAGGGGCTACATGAGAAGCTGCTGTGCAGGCCCACACCAATACGTTGTAAGAAGATAAAATAAACATTGAGCAGAACCGAGTTCAGCTTATTGTTGATCAGGACAAAAGTAAATAAAATCCTTAAAATAAAAAAATCTGACGAAAGACAGCAAACCAGAATATATATCAAAAATGTTTAATGAGCTAAACATTTAGAGGACAACCGACCCACAAAAGGTGGTAAAACACATATTTACACAGAAACAAAAAAAGGCCAACCTTAAAAAACAAACAAAAAGAAAAACTTTCAGTCATAACTCAAGGTTGCATATGATAAACAGGTTTATGGAAATGATAACAAGACCATGTGTGAAGACACTGGAGGTAATCAGGAGGTGACACAACATGTTGGAAACACATTCCTGTTTTAGGAAGTTTAAGTTTACCTCCTGCCAGGGATTCTGTGCAGCCATTGATAAATACCAGTGAAAGTTGGATTTACGGGTTTTATACATGAAGTTCGTATGAAGAACACAATCAGAGATACTGATCTCGAAGTTCAGGAGTCAAAATACTGCACACATAATGATCTGTGCTGCTGTAGGCAAGTTTACTTCAGGAATGATACACTGTTGGTACCATTTTAAAAATCTCTCCAAAAATAATTTCTACGAGAGACCAGTGGAAAGCTCGTTAACATGAGACTCCTTATTGACTTGTTCAAATATAAAGCCAACAAGAAGCACAGGACCAGCAGAAGTGTCACAAAACCGATTACTTTTTGATCGGCCTGTAAAATTCCTGTTTTTCCCCAAACAGACAACCTGTGTTACAGCTCGAATTCAAGCCGGATCTCTGATCGAGCGATCATGAATCACCACACACAAATGCAATTCTTTAAACGAATCATACAAGAAACACATTTTGATGAAATCCTAAAATGAGGTGTCTGTGTCAGTTCAAATTATTATTATTATTTTTTAAATAAATGCTGTTCTTTAACCCCCCCGCCCCCCAAAAAAAACAATCATTTATCCATAACTGTGGCAAGTCCTTTACTGCAGCATAACTACACGGGAGAGCACACCAGAAGGCTCTTTGCCGTCACCCAGTGCTGCCCTGAAGCCTTCTTGTTGCCGAGCCCTTGCCAGTTTTGCAAGTGAGAGGAACGACCGAGGCTCTGTGACGGCCAGATCACTGATGACGCGACGGTTGAGCTGGACGCTGCTCTATATGGTGAGAAAAAGGAAGAGTGAGCCAACAGAATTTTTAAAAATACATGAGCTGCAAAACTATCTAGTAAAGCCAACCTTAGTCAGATTGTGCATGAGGGCGGGATATTTCATGCCGTGCTCTCGTGTTGCTGCAGCAATCCGTGAGATCCAGAGCTGATGAATCAAGGGGACAACACACAGGATCAATTATACTGAAGCAAACTGATTTCTAATCTTACACACACCAATCAGCTGCAATATTAAATCCAAAGAGAGGAAGTGAACAACATCCTGTTATACTGCAAAGTTCTGCTGGGAAGTGCACAGCAGTGGCCTCACCCAGCCAGAGAACACCCCCCAACACACTACAAAAATTGCTCAGGAACAGCTCGATGATCAGGACAAAGAGCCCAAAGTGCTGACCTGACTTCAAATTCTCCCAATTTAATCAAAATAAGTCAGCAGCATGGAGCAGAACTGAGGTTTTAGAATAGAATGCCTTTATTGTCATTATACAGATGTACAATGAGATACATGGGGGGGGGGGGGCACAGTTTCTGCAGCACTATATACATATATACATATGAGCAGTATTTACAGGAAAAAATATAAAGTGTACAAAAATACAATCTGGTAAAAAAAAAAAATAGTGTTATGTATATATAGTTTGGGTTATTGCACAGTGGTGGTTTATCCTTGAAATGGGGGGTGGAACTGTGTTTATCAGTGCATGTGTGGACATGGAAGGAGTGCTTCCAAGCTGTTCACACCAAATTCTGACCCTACCATCCAAATGTCATGGCAAAATTCAAGATACATCAGACCAGGTGTTTTTGATCTTCTGCAGTGAAATTTTGCTGAACCTGTGCAAATTATAGTCTCAGTTTCTTGCTCTTAGTGGACAGGACCTGTGGTCGTCTTCATTTAGATATCCCCTAACCCTTGATTGTAATGCGAGGTGATTTTAGTTAATCTCGCCTTCCTATCGCCTCAGGCGAAGGACTTTCACACAGAGAACTGCCGCTCACTGCATTGTTTCCTCTTGGGGTTTTTTTGGACCCTTTTCTGTAAACCCTAGAGATGGTTGTGTTGGAAAATCCCAGCAGCTCAACTGAAATATTCAGACCAGCCTGTCTGGCACAAAACACCACAACATGTTTAAAGTCACTGAAATCACCCTCCTTCATCCATTCTGATGTTCAGTGTGAACCTGAGCTGGTCATCTTCACCATCTCAAGACGCCTGAATGTACTGGTTTGCTGTCAAGTGATCGGCTTACTAATATTTTGCGTTAACAAGCAGTTGAACAGGTGTCCCTAATGAAGTGGCCTGTTAGTAATGTAGACACTGCTGCGGAACTAGCCCAAAGCTTTATTTTCCTATTTAATTATTATATAGCGGACTAATGGAGTGAAAATATCAAGTATTTGATTAGACCGACCAAAAAATAAAGACAATATAACCAGTTATCTAAAAAACATGCTTTAATTTAGACATCTTGTGGTGCACCTGATTTATCTTGGGGATCCTTTAGGTGGTCATGACGCCAGTCAGGAATCATTTGATGAGCAAAAAGCTATCATTAGTGTTTGTTTTAAATATATTTGCACCCAGAATCTGCTGAAAAGTCTATTACTTAGACTACGATTGCTACTATCAGGAAAAAAATCCAAATGCCATGCAGTAATATTTGGGTCTTCTTACCGTCCTCATGTTGCGCTTCTTAAGTTTCCGAGCTTTGGTGGCGTACACGAACGCCCTCCTGACAGCCAGCACGGCCAGGCTGTAGCAGCGGTTCTTCCTGCCTCTGAAGTGCTGTTGGAAGAAACGACAGAGAAGTGACAACAACACTTGTTACAAGTCTTTAACACGACGAGGATGCAATAAACAAAACACCACAGCTTCTACAAACATCATGAATGAGCTCTAGCAGCTATCACTCCAGGAAATAGCCAATAGACGTACCCGTGCATGCTTGAGGACCTCCTGGACCTTCCAGTATCTGTCGGGTCCTCGGCTTCTGATCCAACAAGACAGCGTCAAAAACACCATTTCAGTCCCCCCGTCACCTCACCGCAGTGTCCACTTTCAAACGAATAAACACGTAATAAGCGACCTCCAACCAAGCACTCTCGGTGTTATGAGAGCTCAATAACTCCGCACGCCGTACGTCGACAAACCGAGGCGCATTCTGGGTACGTTCAATTTAAAATTCTGTCAGAGGCGGCGCACAGGCTAATTTAACACAAACAACTTCATCAATTGCACCAGACGGCTACGGTTCACAAAACAAAAAACAAAACAAAAGCCTGAAAATAAAATGTCAAACATTAGATTACAGATCCGTAAAAATACACACTTTCTAAAGGACGTGTTTGCGTCAGTGCGCCACACGTCGGTGTACAAAGCAAACGCACCCACTGAGTTGAATGCTGGGATAGCGAGCTGCGGAGGTCAAAGGAGAGACCATTCAAAATGTCGGTCGCCAGTTTTACGTCCTTGACTCGGTGCGGTGTTTTGGCATTCCGCTCTCCCGCAGGACTCTTGGTATGTTGACGGTTATTAGGGAAAATTAAATAGTTTCATCGCGAACCGCTGCTGTCATCAGCCGGCCCGGTGTCAGCGTTTAGACCGGTTACAGCTCTCTACGTGAGGGTTCCGTCTATGTTCTGAAGTCCATAGTGTAGTTGTTAGCTAAACTTAAGTTAATTATGGTTCGGCTGGTTAACGCTAAATGTGTTGGAATGTATGTCTAACACTAAAAGTAAATAATAATAGAGCTTTGTGCAGAAAAATATATTAAAAAAGATAATCCGAAAAAAATGATGGCATTATTCTATTGCAATGAAGTTTGTGTTTTATGAAACCATGTCTGACAGCTATTAATACAGGATATTTATTGGTATTGATTAAAGGTTATTTAGACAAAGCTAAATTTAGTGATTGGAGCAGGTACTTCATCCTGGTCATGATCGAAGAGGACTTCGGGCGATCGTGGCTCAAGAGTTGGGAGTTCGCCTTGTAATCGGAAGTTTGCCGGTTCGAGCCCCGGCTTGGACAGCCTCGGTCGTTGTGTCCGGGCAAGACACTTCGTTGCCTACTGGTGGTTACCGGTGGCGCCAGTGTCCGGCAGCCTCGCCTCTGGCTACAACGTAGCTTGCCATCACCAGTATGTGAATGGGTGGATGACTGGATGTGTAAAGCGCTTTGGGGTCCTTAGGGACTAGTAAAGCGCTATACAAATACAGGCCATTTACCATTCCAAGTATCATGGACTCTGCACGTCAGTACTGCATACTTGTGTCCCAAAGCAGGTTGGTGTGTGTGTGTGTGTTTGTTTTAAATTATTATTATATTTGATTTCTCGCCTGTCTTCCCTGTGATCAGGCGGTACGGTATGCACA